AAACCAAAACACATGCAGCAAGATGGCTGCAGCTAGAAAATAAGCCAGAAAGAAAAGGAAATAAGCCAGAAAGAAAAGGGAAAATACCAGATGGTTTCATTCATAGCAGGAGTATAAAGGACCAGGGGAGAAAATAATGAGCAGCTATATACCAGAGACATTTTATGGGGGTGAATGGGGATTGGGATAAAAATGGTGGGGGGAGGGAAGTGCACTGAACTATGGTTGAAAGCACACAGGTGACTTGGTGATGGTAAGTCCACGGGGATTACAACTGAGATAGAAAAAGGCACAAAATGATGTAAAAATAAACTATAAACTATAATATTATTTAAAAAATGGACAGATCTAAAAAGATACTTCTCCAAAGTGGAAATGCAGGCACATACACACCTGTACCCCCATGTTTATGTCTTACATTAAAAAATTTATTTATACATACAAGAGCTGTGTTGTAGGCCAGAGGTGGAGAGATGGGGGTGGTGAGAGTGGTAGGGTGAGAGAATTCACCAGGGACAGAGTGGGGAGAACAGGCAGATTGAAATATACTACTGAGGGGAGCAATGGGCAAGATAGGAGAGGTCCGCCACACTATGTGGGTGAGCTCCCTAGCAGGGGATCAAACTCATGCTACAGTGGCTGAGGGTAGCTTCATAGTGCTGAGACTTAACCTCTTGCACCACATGGGATGCCCCCTGCTCTACATTTTTTAACCCTCCATTTCTTTTTTTTTGTTAAAGATTTACTTATTTATGTGTATAAAAATGGAGTACAGGCCAGAGGTGCAGGGAAGGGAGAGGATTCACCAGAGACAGAGTAGGTAGCAGAACAGGCTTATCTATCGAAATACACTGCTGAGGGGAGTTCTGGCAGGTCAGGAGAGGTTGGCCACACCATGTGGGTCAACTCCCTGGCTAGGAATTGAACTCTTGCTGAAGTGGCTGTGAACAGCCTCATATAGTGTACTTTAAACCATTTTGCCACCAGGGAGAGCCCCCGTTAATTTTTCAGTATATGGGTACATGTGCATGTGTTGGGTATATGAAGGTTTCTACAGAGTTTTTACTGGCATTTTGGTCGTAATTTTTAAGTACCAACTATGCTACTGTACTATGATGATCTATGAATGCACTGTCCTAAATCTTTTTCTGCTAGCAGCAAATGATTATTGGTTGAATTTAAGGGGTAGGAATATTAGGGAAAGGTAATCTTTAAGTGCTACATTAATGTTACATGGTAGATCGATAGAATGTCATTCAATGTTGATGGCATGCATGTATTAAGTATATATAGGTGTAATATCTCACAATTAAGGAGTAAATTTTAGCAGACCCCAAAACAATAGCTACCCTATGTAGAAAAGACAACTACTCTGTATAATTTTAAAATGGGGTATAGGTCCTGGTGGTTTGGTAGAAGGTAAGACAAAAAAATTTTTGTAAATGAGGGCTATCGTGGTGGTGCAGAGTTAAGTCTTTGCACTATGAAGCTATCTGCAGCCACTGCAGCATTAGTTCTATCCCCGGCTGGGGGCTGACCCACATGGCAAAGCAGACCTAATCTGTATAGCCTGCTGCTCCCCTCAGCAGTGTATTTCAGTAGATCTCCCTGGTTTGCTCTCCACTCTGTCTCTGGTGAATTCTCTCTCACACACCTCTGGTCTATCCCCATGCATAAATAAACAAATCTTCAATTCTTTTTTTGTAAATTAATAAACAGGGAAAAATTATTAATTTTCCATACTAATATAAATTAAGCCTACCACTTAAAAAACTTTAAAAAGACAAATTTAACAGTACCCCTAAAAAATAGTTACCATTTCAAACATATCCTCCTTTAGTTCTTGTTTCATATAAGCACACACACACAAAAAAAACAACCAGTCTGAACAAGTAGTAACAACTTTATTGAACTAAATATTTTGAAATGCAAAAAATGTTTCCAGCACAAGATACAAAAATTATGTATCTCAGTATTAACACCAGCTGATTAAAAATGAGGCTGTAAAGTTTAACACAAGTCTTTATACATTTGAGTCTTGAAAATCAAATTTTTCCTGTTCTAATTTTTAAATAATTTCATTTCCAAAAATGGGACTCACTTAAGTTATATCTTTATCCTTAAAAAAGAAAGCAAAATTAACTGGCTTACATTATACAATGATAAACTCTAACAACAGAAAAAGATTTAAATATAAGAATTCCTTCTTAAACATAATGTCCACATACTGCAAACAGAAGACACAGTGCGGTGATTTTATTCCTAGTAAAAAGGAAGTCTTGTATATGGTAGGCACTCAATATTTGTTAAACTGGACCTAAAATTTACATCATTCCATGAATACTTAAATAAAGTAGAGCTCATAATCTGTATAAAAAAGGTTTTTGCAAAATACTCTGTGTGCTGAAAGTGCTGTCTTTATAATCTGAAAACACTAAATCCCACCCATCTTATTTTGTGGGAATATATTGAAACATTTTAATTTTATACCCCAAAGAACATGTGTCCAACTCAGGATAACTCAACTCTTTTAAGTATACTTGGCATTGTGATAAGCTGATTAAGTTGGATTTTAACAAAACAACTTGCTGGAGTCCCTAGTGTTTTATTTTAGTAGCAACTATGATTCACAATAAAGAGTTCTCTTTAGATTTTAAATTTATGCACAAAATAAATGGATAAGTAAATTAGTAATTTACTTACTTTACCTTAAATTGTTTAACAGAAAGCCAAAAATGCTCATGACAACTTTTAAAAGAGTTGCTAATATTTTATCTTAATTTTAAAACTTATGTCCCAAAAAGGCACTGTTTTCACATTTCATCATGCAGTAAATCCGTAGGTCACATTTTTGAGAATTATAATTTTCTCTGCCAATCAGTTGTACCTCAAATAAAGCACATTTAAATGAAATAACTAACTCAAACTTTTAACATTTAACTTAAGTCCTATTTTCAGAAGTTTACTCTTTTGAATTTACCACACTCAAGGGCTAGTGAATACAAGTATGCATAACACACCACACATAAACACACACTCACATGCACTCGCACACACACCCTCCCAAATCATCATGTAACACATGCAAGCTTCTCCAACCACTACTTCAAGACAATGACACATGAGTATTCAAGGAGGTAACAATGTCGAGCCATATTATGGCACCTTCATATTTGTGCTCTAAATACCGATACATATTAAAATTAAAAAAAAAAAAGGCACAAATACAGTGTTTCTGTATCTCAATAAAAGAACATTTTCCAATGGTTACTTATAATATGTGACATTTAAAATCAGTTACTAATTTCCTAATAAAAACAAAAAGAAAAAAACCTGCTTAGGTGACAAAAAGAAAACAGAAACAGGCTGTTAGTTCAAAAGGCAAGACTGCTCTAAAAGCATCTGTGCCTACTGAAAACAATTCATGTAGTTTAAATAAGAATGGGAAGAAGGGCTATTTGAGTACTCATGTTAGCAAACATTAAATCTTTTATCACTGCCTTAAGAACCCACAACACCAAAAACATATATAATAAATAAAGAAAAACATTATCATGTGATCTGTTAGTATAATGGTAGGCATTATATTATCTGAAAAGTGGACATTTCTACAACGTGGATATCCTTACAGCACAGTGTTTGACGTTTTTGGTACAAAAGGTGCTACCAAACTTTAAAAAAAATACTTATAATAAAACCCTTAAGAATTACAATAAACACGAACATGAGTAAATAAGGGCAGGCTGAAATGTTCATTATATGTTGTCATTACTGAAGTCAACTATGGTCAGAAATGCATATATTCAAGCAGTGAATTCACAATGTGGCAATGAGCATTTGATATAAACGGATATATCAGTATTTTCTTGATATATATGACAACAAAACACTACAGTGTAAGGAAGTTTTTTTTTTTTCTTATAAGAATCTGGCATCATCTTAAATTGAAATCTTAATGTGTTTATGCGTGTGTCTGTAGGTTTTAAAAATTGTACACTGCCAAATTTAACAGGCTCAATATAAAGGTGAAGGAAGTGAACTTCTGTTCCCTAAAATACTTATACACAAACGAGTCCATTAAAAGAATTTTTTTTAATCCAAGGAATTCTTCCAATTTAAAATTTTAGTAAAATAACAAAGACCCTAACTACCCAGGAAGAAATGAAGATTCTAAAAATACGATCTTTTCAAACTCCAATTTGTATGGATAATAAATGCTTGTATGCTTGTATGTGTTTGTTTAATGTAGGTATAAGTCACTCTTGATAAAATATTAAGATTGCTTTAGTGAATATCTAACAAAGAGATGATAAAAATAAAATCCATTTTAAAACCTTGGGTTGCAATTTTTATCCTTTTGTCCTAAAATAAAAAACTGAACAAATTATACAAATTTTTTTTCTGGAGAATAAAGTTAAATCTGCAAATATATAGGTCTATAGGCATGTTCACCCCTCCCCACCACAGTAACATACTTTTCCCTTTGTGGGCAAATATAAATCTTACCTAAGAAATATAGTCACTGTTACAGGAAATCAGTTGCAGTGACTTTTCATTTATAAGTACTGCTTCTTGGGGACAATACACCAGAACAGGCATCTATTGTGAACAGAGCTATCAACACTTAACATGTGTAGATGTGTAAAGCTAAAATTCATTTGGTAAGAAAGAACTGGCCCATGAAAAGCAGTTTTTAAATAGTTTATCCTGTTCACATTTTGCAGAATTTCAATGTCACCCACAATGTTAATTACTCAAGTGGAAGAGAAAGGTGAAAAGTAGGAGGAGGAAAAAAAGGTCATAGGTGGCCTCACATGTTTCTAATGGTTCTCTCTTTTACTATCTGTTCAGTGCTTTTAAGATAGTAGACTATGTTTATTCTTCAGGTGCCTTTTCCAAACTGGGATAAAACAGGATTGAATTCAATTATGAATATCCAAAATTCAAACCAATTTACCTATAACCAACAGTCTCTTTCTTATCTATTATCACAAACATTCCGGAAGCCTCCATCTGTCTTTTCTTTCAAAAGTTAAGACAATTAATTATACCTTATTAATTCTCTCAAAAGCAAAAAAAAAAAAAATATATGTACCATTCATCATATAAAAATTACACATTAAAAGTGCATATATATTTCTTAATTGGCCCACTCATGTAATTTACATTTGGTCATCCTTTTAACAGGTACAGAATTCCTCCTCTACGTAGGTCACCATAAAAAAAAAAAAATCAATTTAGCATAAAACATGCTTTCTAATTAAAATCTTAACCTCAATCAGTTCTCAGTCATTGTAAACTTAAATAAACCAACAATGAAACACATATAAACATCACAAATTTTACTAAAAATCTGGGCCAACTCATAGGATGTTTTCCCCCTGAAATGAAAAATAAATTAGAAAGGAAGTGGTGTATTGCCATCACTTACCTTGAAGGTAAGCAGGTTTTCCTGTGTTCATAAAACTTAGATTGGAGATATTATCAGTAATCTCCAACACAAGTGCTTTTTAGGAAAACCTAGTTTCAAACATTCAGATAACATAGGACAAATCCTATAAAATTCATTTTGCTTTTCTCAAACTAATGGAAGATCCTTTGAAACTTAATATCTTCAGGTATCAATATTACTGCATTATGGAGCTAGTGCAATCTTGCATAGCCTTGGTCAAAATGACAAGGCACAATAAAAAAAAATTAAAGTATCATATGAACAAGAGAAGTCACTGAAGATAATTTAAGGCCTTGAAGTGAATTAGTATAATCAGTCAAATTTAAAGCTGAAGAATAACCAATACATCATCCACCTGAAATGCAAGCAATATGCTTTCACTTCTGTCCTGTGAACAAGACAACAAAAACAACTCTTGTTTATGGTTTGTATATTAGAATCCATCTGGATCAGGAAGAGTAAAAGTCAATTCCATTTTTCTACAGTGCATGGAAGATTTCAGGACTGTTTTAGTCGTTTGCGTGGAATGCCAAACTGTGGACACTGTGCAGATGCTAGTGCTCGGAAGGCTTCTGCTACTAAATGAGGGTGAGACTGAATCATGGACTTCCATCCTGATGTTTCCATTATGTCTGCTGCTTGGCTGAAAAATAAAATTAAGAGATGTCTATTAAACAGTAGTTTCTAAAATGCAATGTCAATTTCTTGCCTGTTGCTCTATGTATTCAAACCATTTTAATTCATTAAGATATCATCTTTATCTTACTGGTCTTTTTTGTTGCAGCCGAAAACAAACTTCTTCAAGTTCTCCTGGGAAGCATGACAGTTCATTAATTTCTGTAGTACTACTCCCATTATTAGCATTTCTTTCAAGGGTTCTTTTTGCAACATCTTTTATTACTTTCCCTAGAGTTCTTTTCTCTCCGTTAACACTATTATCTCTTTCACTCTAATCAATTTAAACTTTTATATTCAGCGATAATAATTACTGTTTTGCTAAGTCTAGGCCTACCCACAGGTTGATTCCCCACTTGTCCTCTTTACATGTATGTGCCTCAGGACCCATAAATTCAGGACTATCACAACTTCAATTTAACCCCAAATTATTCCTTCATTATTTCTATTTAGCTTATGTTACTACCACCACATAGTGATTCAAATAAAAAAATTGGGAGTTTTAGTGAACTCCATTTTTTGAGTCCTATTTGAATTACTAAACATCTCAAATCCCTAGTTAATGGCCCATATCATCTCACATTTGTATTGTAATAGTCTTAAATGTTTGCCTTCTTGTCTCCCATCTTACTGCTCTAAAACCAGCTTCTACACTTCCTTAATAATAAAACATTACTAGTTCCCCACTCACCATATCCAAGTTCTTTAGAAAGAGAAACAAGGTTTCAGACTTCTGCTTTTTAGCTCTCTACAGCTTATTACTATGGTCTGGCATTTTATAAACTGATGCTGAACTGCTTATGCCCACTGAACAATCAGAGTAAATACCTGATTTTTAAGCAACAACTCTAGTTACTTTTTCTTGTCTCTTGTCTTCTCTCAATTATACCACCCATCACATATTCCCCAAATATTAGACTGCCCCTTCAAAATGATATTCTTTCCTTTCTCTCTAGTCTCACTGTTACCAACTACCCTTAATTTCACCATTTAACCCTTTTCTTCAACTGTGACAACTGCCTCAGCCTCTCTACAATCCACGCTATCTTGCACGCGAAAGATTGTTAGAAACACAAACTTAATCATGTCTATTACTCTCCAAATAAAATCTAAATGCCCCAAAGTTATTTACATGGCCTTCCAGGATCTGATCTCTTCCTGCTTTCTCCATCTTCTTATAATCTCTCTCTGTTTCTATGTTACTTATTCCTTTATATCACCCACTCTTTATCTGATTCCTTTTTTCTGGGATATACTATTCCAGTATTAAAACACCTACAGAAAACTCGAGGTCTATATTTATAGAAAAATTTCCTGAAATGGTTTCCCCTGACCCCTAGATTAGATTAAGTCCTTTTGCTATATGCGTGACTGGGTATGCAATATATTACCTAGCATCACACTCTTATTATTGTTTAGTTCCTATCTATTGCCTGTTAAATTATGAATTCCATGAAGGCAGGAAAAACAGTGGGTGTCTTCACCACTATGTTCTTTGTACTGAACACTTATATTTACTCCTAGGTAATAAATATAAGCATATGTCCAATCAGCGATGAAGCACTGCTTCTGTAGTTTCATACAAGCTATCCTTTCTGTCTGCTGTGCTTGCTATTTCCTTTTCAGTTCTCCTAAATCCTATTCAGTTTTAAGACTCAGTTCAAATGTCTCTAGGAAGCTACCCTAAGGCCACTGGCCTAATATATATAGCTTCTTAACACCTACTTTATTATAATGACATTAAAAATTTATGTATTTGTTTCTTTCACTGGATAAATCTGTCAATAAGGATTTTACCCCTTCATAATTGTTTTTATATACTAGCACGATGCTTGAGCTACCACAGATAGGTAAACGCTGAATTAAACATTAGCGAATAATAACTTTTTTTACTTGTCTCACATAAAGCCATCACTGAGTAACTATGTTTAATTTCATCTAGTTCTGAATCATATAGATACCTGACATTTTTGTTTATTTAATTTAATAACTATCTCCAGGATAGTTGTTGAAAGTTATACAATGTAAACATCTCCTAAATGAAATAAAACTAGAGCTTAGAAGGGGCTAGGTTCAAAGGGACCATTTATATGTCATTTGTTGTTAATACAATATATTCTTAATTCAAAGGTTTTTTGCCAGTTGCACACACTATAACATATTATCACATAGTAACCAATTCACAGGACAACAAATACCTTAAAAGTAGTTATTAAGCTTTACTGTCAGAAAGCAGAATCCATAAACTAATAGTAATTCAATTAGTCAATGTCACATACATCAAAACAGATGTTAAGCAGTGGGAAATAATTAAGTCATTAACACGTCACTTTATTGTCTCTTAACACTGTTTTCTTTTTCACTTTCTATATCAGCTTTTGGTAATTTCTAAAATATAATCTAAGTGTTACAGATAAAAACTAATCAAAAGCAAAAGCATATTCTTTATCCTATTGGTTCTTTTCTCTTTTTGACTTCAAATAATCACCAAGAGTAGAAAAGCTACTTTAAAACTGAGAAGGAAAAAAAGAAAAAAAAGAATAATTGGTAATAGTCATATCCACAAGATATGGTCCCTATAGTTTTACCATGGAAAACAAATTACTACCTTTCTTCTTTTGGACTATTAGGCAGCTAGTCCAATTAGCATATGATTCTAGATACTTGACTAACCTAAGTAGCAGAAGGGTAGTATTTAATGTAAGGAATTTCTAGACAAATCTGGAAGTTACATGCCTCATAAATAAAGTGAATTATTTCTCACATTTTAAGAAATAGTTCTTGATGTGGACAGGGATAGAATCTATAGCAACCAATGAAATACGTGAACTCAGCTATACATTATGTGAGCACTGTTAAAGAAATAACAGCGTCTATTTCAATTCACATTAGAAGCAGATACGAGGGAGCAAAGCCTCCAGAATTATTATTTTTTAAAATAACTGGCAGTTAGAGCAATAAGGCATACAAGGAATCCAAGTAGGGAAAGAAGAAGTAAAACTATTTGCAGATGATATGTTAATTTACATGGAAAACCCTAAAAACTCCACAGAGGAACTAATCAAAACCACCCACCAGTTTAGCAAGGTAGCAGGATATAAAACCAACACACAAAAGTCAGAGGCTTTCCTATACACAAACAACCAACCAGAAGAAGCAGAAATAAAAAAAAACATTCCCTTTTCAATTAAAAAGAATCAAATACGTGGGAGTCGACCTAACAAAGGAGGTAAAAGACCTCTACAAAGAAAATTACAAAACACTGTTAAAAGAAATACAAGAAGACACCATGAAATGGAAAGACATCCCCTGCTCATGGATCGGGAGAATTAACATCATCAAAATGGCCATCCTGCCAAAAGCAATATACAGATTTAATGCCACCCCAATAAAAATCTCAATGATATTCTTCAAAGAAATAGAAAAAATATTGATGAGATTCATATGGAACAACAAAAGAACTCGAACAGCCAAAACCCTCCGGTCTGAGAAAAAACAGAATAGAGGCATTGCAATCCCAAACTTCAAGCTATACTACAAAGCCATAATAATCAAAACTGCATGGTACTGGAACAAGAAAAGACATACAGAACAGTGAATTCAAATAGAAAACCCAGATATAAACCTACAAGTTTATGGACAGCTAATTTTTGACAAAGGAGCAAAGAAGATACAATGGAACAAAGAAAGTTTGTTCAGCAAATGGGTACTGGGAAAACTGGGAAGCTACATGCAAAAAAATGAAACTAGATCACTATCTCACTCCATACACAAAAATCAACTCAAAGTGGATTAAAGACCTAGACATAAGATTGGAAACCATAAAATACCTGGAAGCAAAAATGGGCCAAACACTACATGACACACACTTCAGCGACATCTTTAATGATAGAGCACCCAATGCCACAATAGTGAAGGCAAGGATAAACAGATGGGACTACATCAAGTTAAAGAGCTGCTATACAGCAAAAGAGACATTACAAAAAACAGACAGCCCACTAATTGGGAAAAAACTTTCTCACACAAAAGTAGTGATAAAGGATTGATCACAAAAATATACAGAGAACTGGCAAAACTCAACAAAAGTAAACAACCCCATCAAAAAATGGGCAGAAAAGCTAAAAAGACACTTCTCCAAAGAGGAAATGCAGATGGCCAACAAGAATATGAAAAAATGTTCAACATTACTTGTAATAAGGGAGATGTAAATTAAAATCACAATGAGATACCACCTCACCCCAGTGAGAATGGCATATCTTCAAACAACTAGCAACAACAAATGTTGGCGAGGATGTGGAGAAAAAGGAACTCTCCTGCACTGCTGGTGGGA